CCGTAAACTCTTATTCATCCTTCTATTCTTGATGATTCTATGCTCTAAACATGTTAAACCTAGTGTACAATGAGTTAGAACAAGAGTACTTACGATCTAGGAGCTTGAATGGTAAGTTTTGGCCAAGAACACTAGTGTGTGTTCTTGGTGAAACTTGAAGATCTACAGAAATGGAATGATTTCACGAATGAAATCATGTAAGATCACTAGTTCATGTAAGATATCAACTAGTTAGGACAAGGAACTTATGAGATTTGAAGATCGGGATGGTACTTGAGAGGATTTCAGCCAAGGAGGTGAAAGAATGGAACAAATGGCCAAACTATCAACATATACGGTGGGGTTTACGGCCCATATGGAGTTTACAGCCGTAAACTCCCATGTGATGGCCGTGAACTCCTTGTAAAGGTGTTTAAGGCTGGTTTTTGAGCTATAACTTCAGCAGATAAACCCCGACACTTAACCCTTAAGTGTACAAGGCTCAGAACGCTCAAACAGACTCCAAATTGTGCTAAATGATAGTAGAAATGAGTTTGACTTTCAATGAAGTGTTTGACTATACATGATAGAAAATTTCAAGTTGTCACATCATCCCACCATTAGAGGGAATTTCGTCCCGAAATTAGAACATAGGTAAAGGAGTAGGCATGAATAATCAAGCATGGAGGTGGGGATACTTCATACTCGATTGATTCTCGTGCTCCCAAGTGAATTCAGGTCCTCGGTTGGCATTCCAGCGAACCTTCACTAATGGGAAGCGGCTTTGCTTTGTTTGCCTGACCTCTCGGTCCATGGTCGCTATGATTCTTTCACAAAGGTGAGGTTCTTGTTGATCTTGATCTCGTCGAGTGGGATTACAAGAGTCCTGACGGAAAGGTACTTTTTCAAGTTCGAGACATGGTGGGTAAAATGTACGTTACTGAGTTCGCAGGGTAGGTTATGTCATGGATGTTTCTTTGCTCTTTCTTACTACATGAGTAGGTAAGTAAGTCATTTACATGGACAATCCGAGGGGTATCATTACGGACTCGTAGTGTCCTTATCGAGTTTGGAAGATTGTCCTCGGGACATCCTTCACTAACACTCATAACTGGTGATATTCGGATCTCAGGTCTATTTCTGAAAGGTAAATAGTTCCTTGTGGTTGGTCAACCAATTCTTTTATGCGAGGCAGAGGGTAATGATTTCTAATGGAAATCTTGTCGAGGTCTCTGAAGTTGATGGACCTACGAAACAATTAGTCTTTCTTCTTGAAGAACAAGACCGGAGCCCTCCAGGGTGAGAAGCTTGTTCTTTCCATTCCATTGCTCAGTAGTCCATTAAGTTGTCCGGATGGTTCTTGTATCTTCGTGGGTGTGTGACTATAGGGCGATTGGGTTACATGGGCAGTATTGGGCTCTAAGTTCGTTCGCATGACGATGCAATTACTCATAGTCTTGGGCAGTCTCCATCCTAAAGTTCATATTAGAAGTCGTACATGGTTCATCAATCACCGTCTCGTGTATACGAGTCGTATATAATTACGATTGAAAAGATAGTCGAATAAATGATTCTTCTTTAAGCTCACATCCCAACAAGGAAATGAAGTTAAAGTGGAATCATAAATTCTAAACCTGTGGAGCCTTGATTATATACCACCCCTGTGTATACTTTTTCCAGCGATAGATTAACCGTAAAGGTCCTTGGTTTTAACTTGACGTACTGTACGGGTGGTACTCCGGGGAGGTTTGCTGTGTTTTCTTCAACAAGGATAAGAAACATGAGGTACTCTATACATGAGTACTTCGGAGAAAGAGGTTTATGCACGAAACTGGTATTGTGAGGATTGAATGGACTCAAGTTGAAAGATAATATCGGACTCACTTTGAAGTAAAGACATTAGATTTGATCATAAAGGCGTTACAGACAAAACACAACAGTGCAGCTTTAACAGAGTTACAGTACTTTAGATTTACTACAAGACTATTGCTGCAAACAAGGTATACTACAAAAGGAAAGTATACGCAGCACGGGGGTCCCTTAACTGACTACATCTCGCAAAAGATAAGACTCGAGTTGCACTAGTTTTAAACATGTTTAAAAGCATACTTAATATTGACGACTGGAAGTGAACCTATACTATAGTAGGGTCCTTCGTGGCCTTTTTCCATTCTGATGTCAAACTCCTCCTATTCCACTATCATTCTTCTCTGTTGGGCAGTCCCTCTTGAAGTGTCCCATTACGCCACATAGATGGCATATCCAAGAAATTTAGACATTGGTGGTTGAAGTAATGTGGTTGATCCGAGTCCTGCAGAAACGGGTAGTATGTCTGTTCTTGTTGCAGTTATAGCAGTGTAACTGGTGATAACTTCATAGATGATGGAATCTGCATTTATTGCACTTTGGTAGGTTTCCGGCATACTTTCAGGCTAAGTTAGGGGCAATTAGGATACCAGAACGGATGGTAGTAGGAGGTACAGATGTCGTGGCTGTGATTGTTGCCACAGTTTGTTGTCTTTTGCTCTCCCCCTTGGGGTGATTTGACTTTAACTTTAGCCCAAAAATTTCATTTGTTATTATTTGGCTTGAGATTTGGGGTGTTGTGGTAGTTTGTTACTTGTGAGAGGTACTTCGTTGTTACTTGGATTGGAATTACTGCTAACAATGCCGCTAATAGTAGCATTGTTAGTGTTAAGGTGAGTCAGAACAGCTGTCACGGGAGCTGAGACTGCAACTTGAAAGGCAGTTGCATCAATCTGAAGAGTTGGTGTTTGGTTGATGGGTTGATCACTTTTTTTCGGCGACATGATTTTGTTACACAGAAAGAAAATTAATTCATGAGCGAGTATGGTTGAACCTAGATGTAGTTCGATCGTTCATGTAAAGAATAGAAATATGTTCTCGTGGGTTTGACCTACGTCCCTATGATGCAGTCCTAGTAAAGAGTAGAAGTAAGTTCGTAGAATGGTCTCAAGATGTTTGTCGTTCAAGTCGGGGTGTTTATTGGTTGGTGGATAATATGATACAACCTTTAAAAGAGGCTTGAAAATGATTCCATAGTTAAATTACCCTAGTACAGTAACTAGACTAGAGTGGGTTTCAGATAGACTCCACGATAGTATGGTGAAAGTATTTGGACAAGAGTGACATAGAAGTTAGTCGACTGTCAATATCATTGACGTTTAAGATGTAATAAGTTCGGGAAAAATTGACCTTGTAGTAGGTTTTACATCATATATGGAATAGAAAAGTCTTTGACAGCATAAAGGCCTAACTAAAAGTACTTACAGTACAAGGTAGTCACATAGAAAAGTGCTACACAGAACATAGACAGGAACACGGTTCTTTAAAACAAAGAAGGAAAGTAATGCATCTCCTACTGGCGACGGTACCCCTATGGTGAACCCTTAGTTCAACAAGTTGACGTTCCATATCAAGCAGGTATCTTTGATACACCCTATGGCGTACTCGAAGCTCTATGACTTCATCTCGAGTTTCAGCTAGGGCTTGCAGCAGGGTCTCATGGTTTCTCTCAGATCTCTCACGAGTGTTTTCAAGACGATTGGTGCACTACTAGAAAAGTTCCCTTTAATGAGGGCGCAAACAATGATGCGCGCTAATAGAGGATGCACATTTTTTCGTGACCTAAAAAATAATGCCAGCTCTCGAAAATTTGAAGGATAGAGGGCACGCATTTTTGAGCACCCTAAAATTAGTGTCCAAAAAAAAAAAAAAACACGGAGGGCACATATCCTAAAAAGCGCGTCGTGTTACCCTATCGCTTTATAATTTTAGTCTATTAGCGCGTGTTTTCATTTTTTGGGGGGGAATGAAATCCGAAAAATTAAAAACCCCGCTTGCGTCTCCTCCTTCCACGGAAATGCTCACCTCATCAGACTCACCACCATCTCTCTCTCTCTCTCTCTGTCTCTCTCTCTACAGTTCACCTCCATACCACCACCATAGTTGCTGCAGCTACGTCTCACCACCAGGAACCTCAACACAATCGACCATTACCACCATTCCTACCATCCATCGCCGCCCTACCATCTTCTCCATCACCACCTCTTTCTTGTTCTATGCGAAACCCTAAAATCGGTACCAACAACTGATAGGTTCGATTCTAATCCTAGTTCGTTCCCCCCCTCCCCCTTTCCTCCACAACAACTGATACTTTTGATTCTATGGGGTTCACGAAGCGTGGTTTATACATCTAGGGTTTCTGAATTTTGAGTATTATGCACACAAATGTCAGACGAAATATGGTCCGATTCAAGTTCTTAAACCCTCAACTCCGATTAACATGTGATCAACGCTGGAAAAATTATCATCTATGCTCAACATTCCAAGGTACAACTCTCTTTTAAACTCCAATATCAACATCTATTCATTTACATTCCACAAATTCTCGTCATCGCATTCGACTTCATCATTCCCACGAATAATTTTTTCTAAATTCATCTCTTTACTTACCTGATTGTGTTATCTACTTGTTGGTGGGATTTCTATCAGTTTTAATTTTAATTTAAGGTGAAATGATCAAGTGCACATGAGGTGTTTGATGAAATGCTCAAGTGAGTGTAGACAATAATTCCTTTCATCTTTTGGCTATGTAAAGATGGAGGTAATAAGATGGATAAGGATGGAAAAGTTGACATGTTGTGACATAAGGGCCAACAGGGTGCTGCAATTCACATAATCGATGCCAACACCGGATATCTATTTTCTTTTCTTGCTGGCTTTCTCATGATTTATGCTTTGTGACTTCAGATAATTACAGAATTCAAGGAGCAAGGATTGAATACCGAATTGTACAGCAAGAACAAACACAGACGGGAAACTTATAGTATTGTACCCACAACTGCTGTCAGGTAGTTTTTTTTATGAGATCTACTGTTCACACACCATTTGAATACTGGGTTTTGAACTTTGAACAAAATCTTTGCTTTTTAGGGAAAAATAGTGGTGAAGGCATACCTGAGATGTTGTTACTACTTGTCCAATGGGCTTAGAAGACAATGATTAAAAAACTTACATACATCAGTGATATTCAGGTGTGTTTATATATATATATATATATATATATATATATATATATATATATATATATATATATATATATATATCCTTTTTCCAATTCCACTTTTATTCCATCTATGAGAGTTCTGATTACTGATTCTTGGAATGAAAAATCTTTGTAGTGTACGGTATTGGAGGTTAAAGTGATAGAAGACCTTGGAACAACCATTGATGTGGTTTTGGTTAATGGTGTGCTTCATGAAGGAGATGAAATTGTTGTTTGTGGCTTTCAGGTATGTGCAAACACTTTGTTGCTACATTCAAGTTACTTTCTATTTGTATGCTATAATTAATAAATATATGAACGAATGATGCTACTTTCTTGTTGAAAATATAATGCATGTGCATGTGCAGGGGTCAATTCATAAAACAATCCGATCATTGTTGACTCCTCACCTAATGAAGGAACTCCGAGTAAAGGTGAGGATATGTTTGAACCTTTTTGGGCATTTTAAATTTGACAATTGTTTTTCAAATTCGTTAGTTTTGTTGAGTCTTTATGAGTTTGTTTGTTGTTTGATTCAGGGAGCTTACATTCATCATAAAGAAATCAAAGTTGCACAAGGGATTGATTTACTTACTTCGTTTCATAGACCCTTCTCTTTTACTGTCCCATGTGGAAGATTTGCCAAATAGATTGATTTGTGGTACGCTGCTGATGGAGACACAAGATAGAGGTGATGTCAAAGGAGAAGTTTATCCTTGTGACATAGTTTACACACAGGCTGCTTGTAACACCCCAAAGTTTGGAGAGCCAAGAAAAGAAAGAAAAACCTCAAGTTTAGGGGAGACTCGGCGAGTCCATGGAGGGACTCGGCGAGTCCGAGCGGGATCCAGGTTGTGGTGAAAGCGACCGACTGGGAGAGTTGGCCAAGGAGACTCGCATGAGTTGGGTCTGAACGAGGAAAACCCTAAATCCGGGAACTTGGAGCCTATTTAAGCGTCTCATTCTCCTTCTTAGGGTTCCTTTACTGCCTCTCTACCCCAGAACACCAAACCCTAGCCGCCATATCCGTTTTTGAGCTAGATCTTGCCTTGAAGAGTGCACTAAAGCTTGGAGGAGGAAGAAAGACCTTGGAGGTGCAAGAAGGGACTGTAGATCTGGGATTGTGGAGTCATTTCAGAACAATTGGAGGTAATAAGCTGTTGCTTGGACTCCCTTTGCACCTAGATCTATTCTTATATGTGAGTTTTGGTCATTTTTAGTATGATATGTAACCAATCCGAGTTGGAGGTTCAGATCTGAGGTTGCTACCTCAGATCCATGTTTGTTTTGGTCTTGAATCCCCTAAAGTATCAGCCCTTGGTATGTTGAAGAAGTATGTTTGCCATAAACCCGAATTTAGGGTGTTTTGAGCCTAGATCTCTTAATCTACACGTAAAGTTTGCCACTTTACGTGGGGAATAGTCCCTAGAAGTATGGATCTATGAGTTGGAAACTCTGTTTGGCTCGAAAAGCCACTGCATGGATTGAGGACTGGATAGACTCGGCGAGTCCTTCGAGTGGACTCGGCGAGTAGCTTGAAGATGAGGAGGAACTCGACGAGTAGGATGAACAACTCGTCGAGTCGGATGAAGTTAGGCATGGACTCGGCGAGTTGGATGAACAACCGACGAGTTGGTTGAAGATTGTCTAGGACTCGGCGAGTCTGTTCTTGGACTCGGCGAGTCAGATCGCGAAACCCTAAACCCTTCGAGTTGAGATCGAATCAGTGAGTCGGGTGGTGACTCAGCGAGTTGGACAGGACAGGACTTGGAACTAGTTGGACTCGGCGAGTCATAGACTGACTCGGCGAGTCGAGTCGCGAATAAGAAAGACCCAGAGCATATGAACTCGGCGAGTCAGTAGGTAAACTCGGCGAGTAGGGTTGACCTGGAAGGTTGACATTGACTAGGATTTTGACCTTGACCAGAGTTGACCTAGTGACCTTTGGAGGTCAGTTGGACTAAGTGTTTTATTGGCTTTTGAAGCTCGAAGAGTTAGTGGAGCAGCAGTTCGGAGTCAGAGGTCAAGTAGCAGTCAAGAGGATTAGCAGCATCAGTTCAGCAGTCTCAGGTGAGTTTCCTTCCAGTAGGGACGGGTCTAAGGCCACAATGCCGGCCCGTTCAGTTAGCAGTAGTTTCCGGACTTCGGTCCGATGCAGTAGTTAGTATGTTTGATGCCTTCGTGGCTCAGACAGGATTTATGTGCTATGTTTTATGTGTTATGTGTTATGTGTTCCGGGCTACGGCCCGATGTAGTATGCAGTATATGTGTTCATGCTAGTTGATATGTTATGCTATGCTATGTTCAGTCAGTTAGCCCGGACTTCGGTCCGATGCAGGGGACAAGGTCCCAGTCAGTTTCCGGACTTCGGTCCGATGCAGGGGGCAAGGCCCCAGTTAGCCCGGACTTCGGTCCGATGCAGGGGACAAGGTCCCAGTCAGTTTCCGGACTTCGGTCCGATGCAGGGGCAAGGCCCTAGTTAGTCCGGACTTCGGTCCGATGCAGGGGACAAGGTCCCAGTCAGTTTCCGGACTTCGGTCCGATGTAGGGGCAAGGCCCCAGTTAGTCCGGACATTGGTCCGATGCAGTGGGCAAGGCCCAGTATGTGCTTTATATGTTGTTGTATGGTATGTGTTAGATTGGGGGAGCTCACTAAGCTTCGTGCTTACGGTTTTCAGTTTTGGTTTCAGGTACTCAGTTTTCAAAAGAGGAGCTCGGGGAGATTGCAGTGCACACACCATAGTCAGTTAGCCTGGGAATGTTTGACTCTGATAATGATATTATGTTTTGAATTAATACTCGAGAATTTATGTTATGACTTATGATACAGTTTTTATAAATATGATTCTAGTAATGCTTTTAAAGAAATTTTTTGGTCGTGATTTTTGGTCGTTTCAAGTTGGTATCAGAGCCTTGGTTTGAGGGATTCAGATATGCATTCGAGTGTATTTGAACTCAAACTAAGGACACGATAAAGGATTTTCAAAAGAAAAACATTTTTGAAAAAGGGTTTTGGAAAAAGAACTTAGAAAGAAAAGAGTTTTGAAAACGAGAAAAGGGTGTGGTGCATGCAATCAGCCGAGCTCAAGTAAGTACTCCCAATTTACCCATACAAGTTATGTTATGATCATCATTATCAGTTTCAGTTTCAGTTTCAGCTTCAGTAGAACAGCATGCTAGAATAAGACTAAGGATCTAGGATGATGCCTTATGTGCCTGTTTTATGTGTTTCAGCTGATAAGAATTGCATGCTAGTATTGAGTAGACAGTAGTAGGATAGCCTGTGTAGGTTATGCCTGATAGCATGAGCTTAGCATTGTATGCTAGTGCAGTTTCTTGTTATGAGAATTGTTTTGCCTAAGTATGTTTCCTTTATCCGAATGCTGCTTGCTTTGTGCTTTGTGGGACTCTGAGTGATGGGAGTTAGCCATTAGGTGAATACGTCACATCACATGTGATTAGGGTTGGATAATCTAAGAGTGCTAGATTTGGCCCTACTGCGCAGCTCTTGTCTGAGTCCAACCGTTGTAGGGACGAGACTTTTACTCGAAGGATTATCCGAGCCTCATCACATGTGATGGTATTCAGGTGGTGGCTAATTGGCATTACAAGGAGGCCTTCAGCAGCTGAGGACTGTTTGGGTAGAGTCAGAGGTTCCCTAGGGCAAGCCTAGGATGAGAGTAGCAGAGATCAGTAGAAGAGTAAAGGGGACTTGGTGGAGTTGAGGTAACTCTTGAGGAAAGTACGGATAGATGTGGAAGGTAGTAGGGGCCCATACTACTGAAAGCAGAGGATCCGTAGAGATCCCTTAGCAATAGTATGGAATTGGTCAGGGATTGTTATATTTTCAGCATGGTGACGTTGCGCGAGATATCAGTTGGCAGTTCAGGTGCAGGGGAGGGGTCTAGCTCGGGCTTTAGAGCCGGACAGCTTGATGATCAGATGAGGGATTTCATTTCCGCAGAGATTATGCGCAACATCATCGATCAGACTCCAGTGATTTTCGGTTCAGTTAGAGAGGCTATTGTGGAGCTCATGGACAGTCATCTTGAGGCCTTTAGGGCCGGGTTAGTTTTAGGACAGATTGGGGCTCGTCTAGGTCCCGAATCTTATGGAGTTCAGGGATCCATCAGGGAGGGAGATCCCATTTCTAGTTTCTGCTATCAGGGGGCAGGGGTGTGTGGGGCATTCTGTCTCCAAGAGAAACCATTGCATGATTGGATAGTTGAGGAAGTTTCGCGAGCCATTCGTGAGGGTCTGCCAGACATGGTCGTGAGGATCACTGATAGATTGATAGTGAGGCTTCAGGATCAGACATCTGTTGTTCAGTTAGCAGACATTGCCGTTGGGGTAATGCAGGAGCGAGAGTCGGGCAGGGAGTCGGAAGGGAAGAGGAAAATGGATGAGACTCAGGTTACCACAGGAATCGAGTAAGAGGACCAAGAGTTCAGATTTGAGGACTAGGAACTATCAGAGCCGCAGTCGATGCGGGAAGTGCGGAAGGACGCACATGGGTGTGTGTAGGCGTAGAAGTGGTGGCGATGCTGGGTGTTTCAAGTGTGGCCAGATTGGTCATTTTAGCAGAGACTGTGTTGTTACCATCGCCGAGGGACTTGATCCGTTGTGTTTCCATTGCAGTCAGAGGGGCCACAAGAAGGCCCACTGTCCGAGTTTGTATTCAACAGGGCAGGCGCTAGCTCCTGCCCTTGGAACTTCAAGTACCGTCAGTGGTTGTCAAGGCCGGGCAAGGGTGCCTACGGCTCGGAGCCGAGTTTCTCCGGTAGATTTCGGCATTCGAGCAGCACTGAGTAATGGAGGTATGTAACTTGTTTTTGTCAGCTTATGTTATGATTATGTTGTTATGGTTTCTGCATCAATTGTGGTATAAGTGTTGTGTTATGGAGTGGCTTGCTTGTGATTATGTCATATGCCATTTGCATACCTCGGATAATTGGTTGGTAGTTAGGGAATGTGCTCTTAAGGAGAAGGTTTCGGGGGATGCAGTAACGGTAGCATGGTTGGGAGAGATTTGGTTCGTTTCGCTAGTTCGGAGTGGTTAGTGTTTGGGAAGGATTGGTTAAATTCCTACCTGGCGGGTTTGGGTTCCCCAGTAGAAGTTTTGGAATGATAGTAAAGGTCAGGATCTCTTTTGAATGTGAAGCAGCAAGGGGTAAGCAGGATCGAAGTGAGGGAGAACCCTCCGGGTATACATGGATAAGAGTCACTTAGAATGAGTGCGCGGCCTCTAAGAAGAAGTGGTAGTAGCACAGTGATGGATGGATTGAGAAGTTCAGAATTGAGAGTTCGAGAGCTTTTCCCAGCAGTGGGTTCATGTAATGGAGGTGGTTAGAAGCTGGTTGGGAATCCAGGATTTGAGGACCACCTGTAAAGGCTCAAGTGAGTCGGAATGAGGATCCGGAGGAACGGTTAGCAGGAAATGTCTTCGTATTAGTAGCCGGTGGCAAAGCCAGCATGCAGGATTGTGTGGATTCAGGAGTTGGGAGGTTGGAAACTTCCCAAAATAGCTTCTTGTATCCGGATTAGTAGACGGTTGGTTTGGGAACCAAGCTGGAGAATTCCTCGACGAAGCGCTGACCATTCAAGAATATAGGATGTCGAGGATGATGCAGTAATTCAAGGACTGAGAGCTGGTTTTGAGAAATCAGGATGAGGATTCACGAGCGGGACTAGGGATAGTCAGGATGTCCTCGGGGTAGTAGTAGTAGTGTTGTAAGCCTGCGGGGGTAGCCGTAGCATTCACTAGCAGTCAGATAGTAGTAGAGTGTTGTAAGTCTGCGGGGGTAGCCGTAGCATTCACTAGTAGTCAGATAGTAGTAGAGTGTTGTAAGTCTGCGGGGGTAGCCGTAGCATTCACTAGTAGTCAGATAGTAGTAGAGTGTTGTAAGTCTACGGGGGTAGCCGTAGCATTCACTAGTAGTCAGATAGTAGTAGTAGTAGTGTTGTAAGTCTGCGGGGGGGGGGGGGGGGGCAGTCGTAGCGTTCATTAGCAGCTAGATAGTATTTGAGAGTTGTGAATCCGCGGGTGTATCCGTGGCTTTTATCAGATTGGTAGCAGCATGAGCGCGTTGTTGAACGCGGGAACGTAGTAATTCCCACCCGTTCGGGTGCAGCAGTGGGAATATGGGAATCCACGGGTTAGATTTGGATTTCCCAAATGGTTCAGTTATGGCTAAGTCAGCAAATTTTGGCTATAGATCGTCACATCAGTTATGAGATCAGAGTAGCAGTGGACCGTTGGGGTTCGGGTATGTTAAGGGCTACCGTCAGTCTGGGAACCATCATGTTGTTAGCCATGGAATGGATGATGTCAGGATGTGATGTATGGACCCGATCGGTTGGATCGGAAGGTTGTTAGAGCCACAGTGACAGGATAACTTTATGGAAACTAGTCCTAGAGGAAGATTTCATTCAGAAGTCGTGGAAGCGACTAAGTGCGGGTCCCTTGACTCCACAGTTGGGTTTGAGTTTAGTGTTTCAGGCAGCTCAGTGTTTCAGCCAGTTTAGTGTTTCAGGCAGCTCAGTGTTTCAGCCAGTTCAGTGTTTTAGGCAGCTCAGTGTTTCAGCCAGATCAGCATTTCAGGCAGTTTAGTGGGTTCAGGCAGGTTCAGTATTGCAGACAATTCAGTGTTTGGAAGGTTTCAGGGTTTTGGGTCAGTATTGTATTTGCGTTGGAATGCAAGTGTTGACGGTATAGTTGGTTGATTTGGAAATGGCAAGTCTCTCTCAGTAGGATCAGCTGAGCCTTCGGCCGAGTATAGTGATATGTAAAGATAGCTAGGCAGGTAGCTTTTCTTTCAGGATGGAAGGCTCGAGTTAGTAGGAGTTGAGTAATCAGATGGGATATAAGCAAGCTATTTCCAGCAACATCGTTTCAGTATGAGCGGAAGAATGGATGGAACAGTTATAGATAGTCGAAGTATTTTCAGGAGTCGCTGGAAGTGACTAGGAGATTGTGATGGAGTATAGTGACCGGTGGGAGTCCGGTAACTCGGATATCGGTAGATTAGTTGGACCAAAGTGGTCTCAGTGCATCCAGTAGGCGGATGAGGGGTACAGAATTGCCAGTCAGAGGAAGTAATGCTAAGACAATTATGGAAAGGAGAAGGATTCAGTATGTACCAACGATATTGATCGGCAAGGTGAGTGGCTAGAGTGATGGACAAAAGGGCGTTAGATTTTCCAGACCGAGAGTTGGAGGCAGCTCGAAGGCAGTTGATTGTAGCAAACTTCGAGGACGAAGTTTAGTTTAAGTGGGGGAGAGTTGTAACACCCCAAAGTTTGGAGAGCCAAGAAAAGAAAGAAAAACCTCAAGTTTAGGGGAGACTCGGCGAGTCCATGGAGGGACTCAGCGAGTCCGAGCGGGATCCAGGTTGTGGTGAAAGCGACCGACTCGGCGAGTCGGCCAAGGAGACTCGACGAGTTGGGTCTGAACGAGGAAAACCCTAAATCCGGGAACTTGGAGCCTATTTAAGCGTCTCATTCTCCTTCCTAGGGTTCCTTTACTGCCTCTCTACCCCAGAACACCAAACCCTAGCCGCCATATCCGTTTTTGAGCTAGATCTTGCCTTGAAGAGTGCACTAAAGCTTGGAGGAGGAGGAAAGACCTTGGAGGTGCAAGAAGGGACTATAGATCTGGGATTGTGGAGTCATTTCAGAACAATTGGAGGTAATAAGCTGTTGCTTGGACTCCCTTTGCACCTAGATCTATTCTTATATGTGAGTTTTGGTCATTTTTAGTATGATATGTAACCAATCCGAGTTGGAGGTTCAGATCTGAGGTTGCTACCTCAGATCCATGTTTGTTTTGGGTCTTGAATCCCCTAAAGTATCAGCCCTTGGTATGTTGAAGAAGTATGTTTGCCATAAACCCGAATTTAGGGTGTTTTGAGCCTAGATCTCTTAATCTACACGTAAAGTTTGCCACTTTACGTGGGGAATAGTCCCTAGAAGTATGGATCTATGAGTTGGAAACTCTGTTTGGCTCGAAAAGCCACTGCATGGATTGAGGACTGGATAGACTCGGCGAGTCCTTCGAGTGGACTCGGCGAGTAGCTTGAAGATGAGGAGGAACTCGACGAGTAGGATGAACAACTCATCGAGTCGGATGAAGTTAGGCATGGACTCGGCGAGTTGGATGAACAACCCGATGAGTTGGTTGAAGATTGTCTAGGACTCGGCTAGTCTGTTCTTCGACTCGGCGAGTCAGATCGCGAAACCCTAAACCCTTCGAGTTGAGATTCGAATCAGTGAGTCGGGTGGTGACTCAGCGAGTTGGACAGGACAGGACTTGTAACTAGTTGGACTCGGCGAGTCATAGACTGACTCGGCGAGTCGACTCGCGAATAAGAACGACCCAGAGCATATGAACTCGGCGAGTCAGTAGGTAAACTCGGCGAGTAGGGTTGACCTGGAAGGTTGACATTGACTAGGATTTTGACTTTGACCAGAGTTGACCTAGTGACCTTTGGAGGTCAGTTGGACTAAGTGTTTTATTGGCTTTTGAAGCTCGAAGAGTTAGTGGAGCAGCAGTTCGGAGTCAGAGGTCAAGTAGCAGTCAAGAGGATTAGCAGCATCAGTTCAGCAGTCTCAGGTGAGTTTCCTTCCAGTAGGGACGGGTCTAAGGCCACAATGCCGGCCCGTTCAGTTAGCAGTAGTTTCCGGACTTCGGTCCGATGCAGTAGTTAGTATGTTTGATGCCTTCGTGGCTCAGACAGGATTTATGTGCTATGTTTTATGTGTTATGTGTTATGTGTTCCGGGCTACGGCCCGATGTAGTATGCAATATATGTGTTCATGCTAGTTGATATGTTATGCTATGCTATGTTCAGTCAGTTAGCCCAAACTTCGGTCCCATACAGGGGACAAGGTCCCAGTCAGTTTCCGTACTTCGGTCTGATGCAGGGGGCAAGGCCCCAGTTAGCCCGGATTTCAGTCCGATGCAGGGGACAAGGTCCCAGTCAGTTTCCGGACTTCGGTCCGATGCAAGGGGCAAGACCCTAGTTAGTCCGGACTTCGGTTCGATGCAGGGGACAAGGTCCCAGTCAGTTTCCAAACTTCAGTCCGATGTAGGGGGCAAGGCCCCAGTTAGTCCGGACATTGGTCCGATGCAGTGGGCAAGGCCCAGTATGTGCTTTATATGTTGTTGTATGGTATGTGTTAGATTGGGGGAGCTCACTAAGCTTCGTGCTTACGGTTTTCAGTTTTGGTTTCAGGTACTCAGTTTTCAAAAGAGGAGCTCGGGGAGATTCCAGTGCACACACCATAGTCAGTTAGCATGGGAATGTTTGACTCTGATAATGATATTATGTTTTGAATTAATACTCGAGAATTTATGTTATGACTTATGATACAGTTTTTATAAATATGATTCTTGTAATTTTTTGACTCTGATAATGGGAAGACTCTGATAATGGGAATGTTTGACTCTGATAAGAAATTTTTTGGTCGTGATTTTTGGGTTGTTTCACTGCTGGAGGTGAAAAGACCCAAACATCTTTCACATGCTTGATCTTCGTTATGAGTAAGTTTTTCTTTTTTATTTTCCCTCGGCATAAGGTCATATTTTTTTTTTCAATATCAGTAGAGGAATAAGCTGGCATGATGATTCACTTGCATTGATATATGAAGATTCAAACTCTGACCCATGCTGCGGAGAACTTCTGATGGGACTTGTGTTATTGCCAAGTTCAAGAACGAGGATAAACAAGAGACATACCTATTGCTAAATGGAAGTGGCGCTACTTGAGAAGGAAACACGAAATAATTAAGGTGTATTTACATTCTACATTTCTACATTACATTACATACCCACATCTTTTATTTATACTATAACTTACGTTTTTTATATATATATATATATATATATATATATATATATATATATATTATATATATATATATATATATATATATATATATATATATATTCTTAGGGCTATGAAGGAGAACCCGATAATTTTGTCAATTGTGAACAGGTACATAATACCCGTGTTCTAGATTTATATCATTAGTATGTCAGTGAAGTTGGGGACCAAAATTTAAAAATTTAATATCTGCTTTTTTGTAATAGATCTTCTTAGAGCTAATCAAAGTTCCACATTCGGAAGCTAAACTCATAGTTTACTCTTATAAGTTGCAGTTTAGTACACAGGTCAGGAGATACTATTCTTTGCATTTTCTGCTTTCTTATATTTACGATATTTTAACTTTACTGTTCTTTTTGCAAATTTAGGTTTCAGAACTTAGGGATAAGCTAAACATTGTATATTTATTAATAGAACAGGCAAGTTCTTTGTAATTACATGTGACTTTAATTATGGAGTTCTTCGGTGACTATAAGATTGGATTAAAGTTTACTTAATTTTTTATTATGTTGGGTGGTGGTTATATCAGATTAGGAGTTCTGTAAAGTCGAGGAGAGTGTTGTTGATAACTTTTTCTCTTGGAAATGCTTTCAACCAGGGAATTGCAACGGGTTAGTTTTCTATTTTTTATTTTATTTTTGGAGTTACAAAAATTAAAAAAGTATGGCTTTGGTTTTAGGTTCTGTTGTTGGGTTCAGATTGAGCAGCCTCTTAAGACTTGACGAAACAAAGGCACATTTTCATTTGGTTTTGAATTTTGGTGTTAGATCTTTAACTTTGATTTTGGGTTTGGTTTGATTTATATAGGATTTGGTTGAATCTGGTTAGGGTTTCTCGAGAAAAGAGGTGGATTGTTGTTGGGGTTTAATTATACACCGTAACCATTAAAGACAAAAGCGATAAAGTATACAAGGGCAAAATGGTCATTTTCATAAACTTAGTTGATTCAGGGACCAAAATTGTTATGAAAAGTTTCCCTCATCAAGCCTTCAAAACTCATTCCTACCCTCAAGGTATACATATATATTTTTAACCTCCTTTAATATTTTTTAAATTAATTAATCAAATGTAATTGTTTTTAATATAAATGTTTTAGGAGCGAAAAACTAGTCCTGCTGCATTCACCAGGGCAAGGGTTGATGTTGCGGTCAAGTATTCGATAGTTGAACGACCAGAGAAGATCGATGCGGTCCTCTACCCTGAAATTTCCTCATTTCTAATGCTTATCAAGGATCAGGACCCGGTAAGTCTCTCTCTTTCTCTCTTTCTCCCTCTCTCTCTCTCTATATATATATATATATATATATATATATATATATATATATATATATATATATATATATATATATATATATATATATATATATATCCAATGTCCTACATACCTTCACACAAATGGAAACACGGTAACTTTTATGAACTTTTCCTTCTATTTGGACATGAAACTATTGGGGGCAGAATGTGAGGGTGACCTACTAGGTGTACAAACGTGATCCTGTCTCTTTCTACTTCATATATGTGTCTACACCTAAGTGAGCTTATTCTTATTCTTTTACTTTTACAGTTACCACTAAAAGAAATCCAAATCCTTTTGATTATGTCCCTGAGACATAGTTACAGACCTTGAGGCCTTCTTCAAAGCATTCTGACCAATATACCCTTCACAACATTTACCATTTTATCCTTCTTCTTGAGACTTTATTTTGACTTATCCTTGAGGTACACACTAACCCATAAGCTTAAACTCCCTGCTTGATACCCTTAAACTATAAGCTTTACTAAAGTAATCAACTTTTTCACATAGTTTGAGCTGTTTTTGGGCAAGGTGGTTTTCGGCCTATTTTCACTTAATTTTCTTCACAAGAGGTTGCAATACAACCAATTATTAGGGCTTTATTATAGGGTAAGATTCCTGGAGGCAAAGAAATTGCAGTGAAGAGGTTGTCAATCCTCTTTGGACAAGGTTTGCAAGAGTTCAAAAATGAGGTTATGCATATTGCTAAACATCAACATTGAAATCTTGTTAGACTATTAGGATATTGCATCAGGGGAGAAGAACATATTCTTCTTTACGAGTACATGCCAAATAGAATCCTAGATACATTTATATTTGGTTAGTTCATTTCTCCATTCATATGCTTAGTTATATCTGTAAACAGAACTAACTTTTTTTATATTAAGATAAAGAAAGGTCTTCATGATGCTGAATTTTTCTAATATTGGTTTTGCGTTGCAAACAGTATGGTACAAGGGAAAGTAAAGAAGTTACATTGGAAAGGAGAGTTCAGTTGGATTTACTTCAGGTCATTTCTTCTAATAAATGTTATTGAACAACTAAGTTGATATGTAGGGATAACTATAAGGTTTTGATTCATTGTCTTATTTTCTGCAGGCTATGCAAAGAGTTTATAAATTGAGCTCGTACTCACTGAATTCTGTTTCACCACACTTTTTTAATGAGCAGGTATTCTTTTTACATTCTAGTAAGGTACACATAACTAAATTTTTTTTATATTATGAAACTATATCTTATATATATATATATATATATATATATATATATATATTTATATAAAACTAGTAGAAGTTTTGCCACGCCATTGGTGTGGGTTAGATACGATTTTTTTCCAGGCAACATCGATTAGAAGAAGAAGCAAAAGGAAAGGTTTTGGGAGGAGAATAATCTCATAACTAAGAGTCACATGGGAAGTTGATTTAAAAAATTGTAAACCACACCACACGTTAAGGTCCTAGGGTCTTGTTTAATGCTTTAGCTGTGTTTGCTCTAATGGAGATCAACTTATCAAAAGTAAGTTATTTATTTCACCCTTTTATTTAATATTTTTTTGATTGAATGAAAGTCTTAATGAAAGTAATTGAGAACCCTTTTTCTATAAATGATGTTGTGATTGTGGGAGAGGTGTTGTGTTTTTCTCTATTGCTAGGTAACCTTCTCAACAACAGCATTCTACTTAAGCAGGTGAGTAATCCAGATTAAGGGAGACTTGTAATCATGTTTGGCATTCCTTTCCAGTAAGAAACAGAGTTGTATGACTATTTGTTAGTTTTACAGGAATGTATAACCCATGTTAGCAATGTATTATTTTTGTTTAACATTTTAATGATTCTTTGTATGACATTATAATTTGTTCAATTTATTTTATTTTTTAAATATGAAATTTTATTTTATATTATGCAATGGATTGTATTTTTTGTATATGGTATTTTATTTCTATTATGAGAAATTAAATTCAAATTAAATTTAAAAATTAATAAATATATAAATTAATTTTTTTTAAACATTTAAATTTACAATACACAAAAATGTGTGTCATCTTCATTTATGACATGGCCTTTCTTGACAGGGGCTTTCTTGATAGGGTCTTTCTTGATACGAATTGCGTTTCATTAACACGCGCATCGTAAGGTTATGAAACACGAATGTGTGTCGTCTTCTTTTATGACAGGGCCTTCCTTGATACACATTGAGTGTCGTAAACGCGCGTCGTAATTGCGCATCATAAATGCGTGTCGTAAATACGCGTCGTCTCTCTTTATGACAGGGCCTTCCTTGACGCGCATTCGGGCTTCGTCTGAGCCTTTTACGACACGCAATGAGTGTCGTAAAAGGCTGTTTTTCTAGTAGTGGTGTAGATGGTATGCATTCTTGCATTGGCATTAACCTCTTCGATACGTTGGAGAGCCGTCCTGCCTTGAATTTTGTTTCGAGCAACTCTACGGATCAGGATTGGTACAAGTCTATCTGTTGAGCTCCCTTCGTTTACATTGTAGAAGCTTCAGTCTCCATTAAATGACATAGGTTGATCTTACTCTTCGCTCCATGTTTCCAACCAATATACCCAAGGAGGCGCCGGGCCATGAAAAGCCGAACGAGGGTTAGGATTTGGAATGGGTGCTACCGGAGGTAGGTTATCAACCTCAGGATTAAAGTTATCATCATCCGAAAGGTCTTCAACATGGTGATCATTCAAAGGGATTGGATTATCGTCCTCTGGTTCCTCTCCAAACCATCCAACATTTCCTTCGTTTGGAAGGTACAGGTTGTCGTGGGGATGGAGTCCAGTCATGTTATCTACGTGAGAATTGTGGTAAGAGAATAATTATTAGATGAATTATCTAGATAATTATTAGATAATGTTCGTTAGTTACATCACTATTTGTAAAGTGCATACCAGTTATATGTAATCAAAACAGGATAGGCCTTCGAATAAGTAACCTTAACTCCAAATTCACAAGGAATAGGGGTAAAGCAAAAATTCACAAATTCTAAGTCTATGACATCCTAGTTACATATGACCTTAGTGTATCTACTTAGCAACTATCAACTTAGTAATGAAGATCCTTTTTAGTTCTCAAGTAAGTAAATATAGTAACACAAAATACTCTTATAGTATTTTAGACTTAAGTTCTGTTATAATGTTCTCATTGTGGTAGTGTTGGTAAGTTTTTAGACTTGTTGCCACATCACAACCATTCTTGGGCATGTGCTAATCACTCCTCGGACTAACATAGTTGATCAAGATATGCCACTCCCAAGACTGACCATACATCCCTGAGCTTACTTGTGATATTCAACAATCGTAATACTTTTGTTCTTGTCATTGTGACACAGATTTAGTATGAATGCACGTATATATACTTAGTTAAATATTTTATTATCTGATAGTATAAACACTTTGTTAGAGTATTTTTAATCCCATTGAATTTATAGTTAGTATATCTTTTATGGGTTGATATACTCAATTCACTATAAACAGGGCTCTGATACCAATCTGTCACACCCCAAAACCGAGAATGGTGGAAACGTTCTGGTGCAGAGGATGTCATGTAATTTATCGCAATAATGCAAAGTAGTAAACAAGCAACAACATTATCCATTGCATTCATAGTATAATTTTAAATCCATGTGTGTTCTTTCATAGTATAAAACAACATAATGAATAATCCAAATAAAAGACAAGTCTTGACTGCTTCATCATTTGCAGTCTTCAGAAGGGATAAAGTCTATACCTTGTTTGTTCTCTTGATAGGTCCCATTTTGTGGAATTTTAGGGCTTTTCTAAGCCATTTTGGTCACCAACCATGATTGCAAGCATGGTTAGGAGTTGATGTTTCAGATCTAGGTCCTTAGAGGGGTACAAGGCAAAAAGGAGTGGCTTTTGCACTCAAAGAAGGTCCTATGCATTATAATAGATTGTTTTAGGACCTTTTGAGCTCAAGTCCCATGCATGCACGTAATGTTTGTAACTTTACATGCTAGATCGATTGTATAAGCTTAGATCTACATTTTGATCAAGGGTTGTATGTCAGAAATCGAAGATTTAGAGAGTGGATGTGACCTACTCGATGAGTGCATCCTTGGACTCGACGAGTCCAAAGTTTTTGTCCCATATCAGTTGAGGGTCATAAGGATCCAATTGAGTGTGGAAAGGTTCTAGGGAGTCCCTAGGATTGAACCAACGTTCTGGACTAAGCCATCGTTCTAAAAGTTCATAGGACTCGGTGAGTGCATGAGCAGACTCGGCGAGTCCAAGACAATCTTATTAAGAATGAAGATGAACTCGATGAGTTGTTCATGCAACTCGGCGAGTCAAGGACAGGACATGTGTATTAGATGAAGATTTACTTGACGAGTTGTTCATACAACTCGACAAATCGGATGAGGATTTAGTCAATGTTCATTTAGAAGGAAAACTCGTCGAGTCACCGCCAAACTCAACGAGTATAAGGACAAATGGAAGGATAGGGACTCGGCGAGTCAGGTCAATTAGAAGTTGACTTTGACTTTGACTTGGTCATGGGTAAAATGGTCATTTTACCCTAAGAATAGTTAGAAGTGTTTGACTAAGTATTTTGTGGGGATTATAGTCGGAGGATTTCTGGAGCAGCAACGACAGCAGCCAGAGGATTCCCGTATAGAATAGCAGCTACTACAAGGTGAGTTACCTTCTAGTAACGGCGGGTCTACGGCCAAAATGCCGGCCCACCAGTAGGAGTGTATGATCAGATGATTGTCTTTATGATATCATCTAGGTTTTCTACTACCTGATATGTTATATGCTAGCATGATATGTTATATGTGATAGTAGTAGAGTTCGGTTGTTAGGACCGAAGGGTAGGTCAAACACTCCAGATATGTCTGATAATATGTGCTGATATGTTTACATGCTGGCCTGATATGTTATATGTGATAGCGGTGGTAGGAGGGGAATAGTCCCCAAGTTCGGTTTTTAGAACCGATGGGTAGGTCAGCACCCGAGAACGGCTTGACATGGGTAGGACGACACCCCAGAATGGTCGCATGGGTAGGTCGCCACCCCAGAATAGCCGTATCGGGGAGGTCGGGCACCCTATAATTGCTTGGCATTATGTATGCTATGTGATTGCATAACTGTGGTACTATGGGGGGGACTCACTAAGCGTCATGCTTATAGTTTACAGTTTTGGTTTCAGGTACCGCTTCAGAGAAGGGGAAGGATCTGGCGTGGTAGCGGCACATCATACACACGCTCTTTGATTTCCGCACTAGGAGTTATTCTGGGATTTGTACTCTGACCTTATTATGTTTTTTTTTCATGATTCAGTTCTAAGATACGAGACATGTTTTCTTAAATGATATGATCTGATGACATTTTGTTACAAATGTTTTGTAAATCACACAATCAAAAATGAAATTTTTGGACGTGAAAACTGGGTCGTTACAAGCTGGTATCAGAGCCCTGGTTTCAGGGATTCGGACACACCTGCAGGGGTGTCTGGACTCAAACTAAGGGATTAAAAGATTTTTACAAGGAAAATGACTTTCTAAAATCTAATATAAAAGAGTTTTGAGAAGGAACAGGTGTGTGATGTGCGCAACTGGCCGAGCTCAAGTACGTATTCCCCATTGTACCCATACCAGTTATATTATGTTTATCAGTTTCAGTAGAACAACATGCTAGAATAGGACTAAGGATATAGGAATGATTCTTTATGTTCCTGCTTTATGTGCTTCAACTTATGGGAATTTCATGCTAGTATTGAGTAGACAGTAGTATGATAGCCTGTTTAGGTTATGACTGGTAGTATGAGCTCAACATTATATGCTAGTTTAGGTTCTCATTCTGAGGATAGATTTGCTTGAGTAGTTTTTCCTACGTCCGAATGCTGCTTGCTTTGTGCTTTGTGGGACTATGAGTGATGGGAGTTAGCCATTAGGTGAATATGTCACATCACATATGATCAGTGATGAATAATCTCAGAGTGCTGGACTTGGCCCTATTGCGCAGCTCTTGTCCGAGTCTAACCGTTGTAGGGATGAGTCTGTTACTCGAAGGATTATTTGAGCCTCATCACATGTGATGGTATTCAGGTAATGGCTACTTGGCATTACAAGGAGGCCTTCAGCAACTGAGGACCAGTCTGGGTAGAGTTAGACATTTTCCCTAGGGTAAGCGTAGAATGGGAATGGCAAAGAATTAGCAGTGATGAAAGGGACTTGTTGGAGTCAAGGCAGTCCTTGAGGAAGGTACGGATAGATGTGCAAGGTAGTATGGGCTCGTACTACTTAAAATAGAGGATCCATACCTAAATTAAGGAAGGCTGAATCGAGACCAGGGAACTTGTAGTAGGTGTGATCCCTCTAGATGTATCAGTATCGCTAACGGTCGGTATTATGTTTTG